AAAATGCACGGACGATGGAGCAATCCCACCAAATATGAAAAAAAGTACCCAGGTCTGCGCAGCACCTGAAACAAACTGAGGGGTAATCAGGGGTATATTTCACAATTCTAGCCGGGACTAGGTACCAGTGGGTCAAAACGAGGTATGTCATTTCATGGTAATATAGTTGTGTTAGGTCCACTCCATTATGAATAAATCAGCTTTATTTTTACATCATCCTTTATAAATCACACTGTATTTTGTGTTCTTAGATATCTAAAGCCAAGAATATTTCATTTCCAGAAATGTCCTGCAGTAGTATCTAGTAGTAAGGTAACAGGAAACACACCTATAACTAAGAAGTTATCAAAAACGAGATAATCATCCTATGTGCAACAGGAACATAAGGCTTTCTTTCTGGGTTGTAGCACCTATTCCTGAAAATCAGCATAAGGATCAGCCTTTGGTAATACAAAAACAGCACATTCAGGTCATATGCACCTGTCACTGAATTCTGAAGGATCTCAAAAGTTTTTCAAACGGATGTCAAATGCAGTCTACATTTGCCTGTCACCGAAAACCTAAAGCCTCTGACACACAGGGCCTTGCTGATATAGAAGTCTCCTGCTGGAGGGCTTCAGACTGCAAAGAACCTGGCAGATGTTCTAATGCTTTGCTGCTCTAAATAAAAGAACATTTTTATGACTGTCTTTTCCTCCCAGGTAAAGAATTTCCCCTACATTTCCTGTCGGTGACCCCATTTGTTTCAGGTCAAGAAGTGAGGGGAAATCTCCCCAGTGAAGACACATAATATACAGTCAATGCGGCCGAAATTGTTGGCAACCCTTGATATTTTTCCTGAAAATCAAGTATTTTCACACAAAAAAGGTATTGCATTAGCACATGTTTTGCTATACACATGTTTATAATATATTCCCTTTGTATGTATTGGAAACAAATATAAAACAGAGGCAGAAAAGCAAATATGACATAATGTCACAGCCAAAAAACCCCAAAATCGGGCTGGACACAAAGTATTGGCACACCCTTAACTTAATACTTTGGTTGCACACCCTTCTGGAAAACATAACTGAAATCAGTCGCTTCCTATAACCATCATAAGCTTCTGACACACTCTCACCCCGGAATTTTGGACCACTCTTCCTTTGCTAAAACAGCTCCAGGTCTCTCTTATTGGAAGGACAGGCCAATACAAACCTATTTCCCAACAGCAAATTTTAAGATCTCTCCACAGCAGTGTTCAATGGGATTTAGATCTGGGCTCATTGCTGGCCACTTCAGAACTCTCCAGCGCACACCTCTTTGCCATATCCATTTCTGAGTGCTTTTTTGACGTATCTATTCTCGTTCGTGCACGGCCACCGAAGCTCAGGCGTCATTGTCACTGCTGGAAGCTCCCCAGAGTCTTGGACGGTCGGGGCCAGATCACGGCAAACCGCCGAGCTTTCTGGACACCCGACACGCGCGTGGTGGCCCTACAGTGCGACCCAAAATCCACTTTGGTAATCCATCAGATTTCTGATGATGCCTTGCACACAGTCAAGGCACCCAGTGCCAGAGGCAGCAAAACAACCCCAACATCATTGAACCTCCACCATATTTTACCGTAGGTAACTGTGTTTTGTTCTTTGTAGGCTCGATTTCCGTTTTCGGTAAACATAGAATGATGTGCTTTAAAACCGAAAAGCTCTATCTTGGTCATCTGTCATCTTTGTCCACAAGACGTTTTCCCAGAAGGCTTTTGGCTTACTCAAGTACATTTTGGCAAACTGTAGTCTTGCTTTTTTATGTCTCTGTTGTCGAGCAGTGGGGTCTCTCCTGGGTCTCCTGCCATAGCGTTATTCATTTCATTTAAATGTCGACGGATTAGTTCGCTAGCTGACACTGATGCTCCCTGAGCCTGCAGGACAGCTTGAATTGTCTTTGGAACATGTTTGGGCTGCTTATCCACCAATCCGGACTATTCTGCGTTGCAATCTTTCATCAATTTTCCTCATCCGTCCACCGACCAGGGAGATTAGCTACAGTGCCATGGGTTGCAAACTTCTTGATAATGGTTGCGCACTGTGGACAAAGGCAAATCTAGTTCTCTGGAGAGATGGGACTTGTAACCTTGAGATTGTTGATATTTTGCCACAATTTTGGTTCTCAGGTCCTCAGACAGTTCTCGTCCTCTTTCTGTTGTCCATGCTTAGTGTGGTCACAGAACAGACACACAATGCAAAGGTTAAGTGAACGTCCTCTCTCCTTTTTATCTGCTTTCAGGTGTGATTTTCTATATTGCCCACACCTGTACTTGCCCCAGGTGAGTTTACAGAGCATCACATGGCTTGTAACATTCTTATTTTATCCGCAGTTGTGAAAGGGTGCCAATACTTTTGTCCAGCCCATTTTTGGAGGTTTGTGTGACATTATGTCGAATTTGCTTTCTTTCCCTCCCTTTTTTTGTTTTGTCCCAATACACACAAAGGGAATAAACATGTGTATAAAGCAAAACATGTGTTTAATGCAATACCGTTTCGTGAGAAATACATGATTTCCTGGAGAAATATCAAGGGTGCCAACAATTTCGGCCATGACTGTACACTCTATAACTGAAACTCTGCTCTAAAAATAACTGTTCTATACCAGGGCTTAGAAAAAAAATGGAAGCAACTACATGATTTGCAGGTGTGAAAGTGGCAACATGTATCGCGTTGTAAGTGGATGTGATGTTAACATTCTTATTGCTTCCGCTGTGTGATGAGACACCTAGCTAACAGCCTCACTTTCATCATTTACTGTGTGTGTTTCTAGTAATATGGAGTCATGTCAGAGCTTACAGAGCTTCAAAGAGGGCAGGGGCCACTAGTGGTGCGGCTTAGATGGTGCCTCTGTGACTGAAGTTGCCAATATTATTTGCCATGTGGACAAGGTACAATATTAAAGGTTATGACGGCATATACAGTTTCTGCAAAAACGTCGTCTGATAAGCATAAGCGCTGGGTCGATTATGGTTAGACTGACCGAAAGAGACAAAAGGACATTGCGCAGGATTGTGACCCGGAATAAGAAAACGCCTGCTGCTAAAGTGACTGCAGAGCTCAGTCTCAATCCTGTGAAGACTGAGCCCTGCACCTGTGTGTGTGAATGAAAGATAATTGTATCACCTATGACCTGATTTAAGTAGGCCATAAGACGAGTTGAAAAGCAAGCCAAAATTCTTGGTTGTTTTGTTTTTTGCATCATCAGTGTGTCAGCTGTGCCGATATTTGTGTCCGCAATCAAAAGCGCCTGATCTAACCATGCTGGATGGAATGTTGTTTCGAAAAATGAAACAAATGATGGCAAAATCGAATCCCATCATTTTAATTTTTCGATCGACAGAAAGTTTGGTTTTCAACTCCTCTATGGTCTGCCTTAGGCACACATACAGTGGGGATCGAAAGTTTGGGCACCCCAGCTAAAAATTTGTATTAAGTTCATAAAGAAGCCAAGGAAAGATGGAAAAATATTCTCCAAAAGGCATCAAATTACAGATTAGACATTCTTATAATACGTCAACAAAAGTTAGAATTTTATTTTCCATCATTTACACTTTTTCAAAATAACAGAAAAAACAAAAAAAATGGCGTCTGCAAAAGTATTTGGGCACCCCTGCAGAGTTAATATAATCTTGTACATGCCCCCTTTGGACAAGTATCACAGCTTGTAAACGCTTTTTGTAGCCAGCCAAGAGTCTTTCAATTTTTGTTTGAGGTATCTTTGCCCATTCTTCCTTACAAAAGTCTTCCAGTTTCTTTGAGATTTCTTGGGCTGTCTGTCACGCACTTGCTCCTTTTAAGGTCTATCCATAGATTTTTCAATTATGTTGAGGTCAGGAGATTGTGAAGGCCATGGCAAAACCTTCAGTTTACGCCTCTTGATGTAATCGCTCCCCCGTGGATTTCGAGGTGTGTGTTTAGGATCATTATCCATTTGTAGAAGCCATCCTCTCTTTAACTTCAGCTTTTTCACAGATGGCATCAAGTTTACCATCCCAAAATTTGCTGAAATTTTATTGAATCCATTTTTCCTTCTACTCGTGGAGATGTTCCCTGTGCCACTGGCTGCAACACAACCCCAAAGCATGATTGATCCAACCCCAAATGCTTAACAGTTGGACAGAGGTTCTTTTCATTAAATTTCTGTGCCCCTTCTTCTCCAAACGTACCTTTGCTCATTCCGGCCAAAAAGTTAAATTTTAACCTCATCGGTCCACAGAACTTGTTTCCAAAAATGCATCAGGCTTGTCTATATGTTCATTTGCAAAGTTCAAACAAACGATGTATTTTTTGTGTGAGTGGACGTAGAAGAGGTTTTCTTCTGATGACTCTATCATGAAGTACCATATTTTTGTACAAGTATCTCTTTATAGTGGAATATGTGTACCACAACTCCAGTGTCTGCCAGATCTTTCTGGAGGATCGTGCAGTCAAACGTGGGTTTTGAATTGTTTTTCTTACAATCCTCCTGCGAGCTGTTCTCCTCTGATATTTTTCTTGAGGTCTTCCAGATCTTGCTTTAACTTCCACTGTTCCTGATGACCTTTCCATTCTTAATTACATTCCAAACAGAGGATATTGACATCTGAAAACGCTTTTTGCTATCATCTTATAGCCTTCTCCAGCTTTGGTGAGCATCAACTATTTTCAGTTTCAGTTTTCTAGACAACTTGCTTAGAAGAACCCATGGTGCTCATTGTTGGGGCAAGGTCAGATGAGTCCCTGGGCATTTAAAAACCTTTGAGATTGACATCACCTGGTCTTTCCCAGATGATGATTGAGAACAATCCATGACACTGGCAGGTCTCAGCTTTGGCAAAGGGGCAGTGCATGCTATAAATTCTGCAGGGTGCCCAAACTTTTTGCAGACGCCATTTTTTTGTTTTCTGTTATTTTTGAAAGTGTAAATGATGGAAATAAAATCTAACTTTTGTTGACATATTATAAAGAATGTCAAATCTGTAATTTGATGCCTTTTGGAGATTTTTTTTTCCATCTTTACCTTGGCTTCTTTATGCATCATTAACACAAATTTTTAGCTGGGGTGCCCAAACTTTCGATCCCCACTGTACAAAACACAATTCATTGTTGACACCTGCCTTCATTAATGGAGAGCTGTACATTGCCTGTTCTTCCCGATATCCAAGGCAATGATGGGGAACTAGCTGACTGAAGCCATGATTTCAATGCAGATTTTATCATTTCTGTTGTTATGGTTTTTTCCTTTAAAAACAAGAAAAGAATGGTTGTCATCCATGCAGAATGCAGTACACACTCCAACACCAAAATTGTTTTTATTTGATTTAACTTTTTGGGGGTAATCAGTAACAAGACTGTAGGAGATTACAGATCATTGAAATGTAAAATATATTATATCTAAGTACATCTGTGGGAAATTAACAATTAAAAAATTTACAATAGCATAGTTACATAGTTTAGTCTGGCTGAAAAAAAAGAAAAAAGTCTATCCAGTTCAACCATTAAAAGAAAAAAAAAAAAAAGTTATAATCCTACACCCACAGTTGATCCAGAGAAAGGCAAAGAAACCCAGCAAAGCATGATCCAATTTTTGCTCCTGCAGGGAAAAATTCCTTCCTGATCCCCAAGGAGGCAATCGGATATTCCCTGTATCAACTTTACCTATAAATGTTAGTATCCAGTTATATTCTGTGTATCTAAGAAAGAATCCAGGCCTTTTTTAAAGCAATCCACTGAGCTGGTCAAAACCAACTCTTGAGGGAGTCTATTCCACAATTTCACAGCTCTTACTGTGAAGAAACCTTTCCATGTTTGGAGATTAAATATTCTTTTTCTTCCAGATGTAGAGTGCTCTCCCTTGTCCTCTGTGATGACCTCAGGGTGAATAACTCTACACCCGAGTTTCACTATATGAACCACTGATGTATTATACATGGAGATCATATCCCCCCTTATGTATTATACATGGGATCATATCCCCCCTTATGTATTATACATGGAGATCATATCCCCCTTATGTATTATACATGGAGATCATATCCCCTTATGTATTATACATGGTGATCATATCCCCCCCTTATGTATTATACATGGAGATCATATCCCCCCTTATGTATTATACATGGAGGTCATATCCCCCCCCCTTATGTATTATACATGGAGATCATATCCCCCCTTATGTATTATACATGGAGATAATATCCCCCCTATGTATTATACATGGAGATCATATCCCCCCTTATGTATTATACATGGAGATCATATCCCCCCTTATGTATTATACATGGAGATCATATCCCCAATTATGTATTATACATGGAGATCATATCCCCCCCTTATGTATTATACATGGAGAATCATATCCCCCCTTATATTATACATGGTGATCATATCCCCCCTTATGTATTATACATGGAGATCATATCCCCCCTTATGTATTATACATGGTGATCATATCCCCCCCTTATGTATTATACATGGAGATCATATCCCCCCTTAATCTCCTCTTCTCTCAAGAGAGAATAAATTCAGTTCCTCTAATCTTCTTCCTCATAGCTGAGCTCCTCCATGCCTCTTATCAGTTTGGTTGCCCTTCTCTGTACTTTCTCTAGTTCCCCAATGTTCTTTCTGTGAATTGTGTGCCCAAAACTGAACTGAATAGTGAAGAATATAAATTTAAATTGATTCGTATGAAGATAATACTTACGCCTCCCACTGCCCAAGCTGCCAATTTCCTCTGTATTGAAGAAAAACTACGGCCTGAAGAAGCCCCACCTGCAGCCCTTTGGCACTTTTGTGTGGTCCTCATGGTCCTTTCAGACACTAATCTGTGTTTACCTATTTCTCTCTTATTTTAGTGAATTTAGCAGTCTCCTGCAATTTGTTTCCAGTCTATGACTGTCTCCTGAAGCGTGTCCATAGTCCCCAACAACTTCTATAGCATTTTCACAGTCTCTGACAGTCTCCTACAGGATGCCTACCGCCTCTGACAAATTCTTGTATCATGTCTGCAATCTCTGATCATCTCCTGTATTGTTTCTCAGTCTTTGCCTATCTTCTGTATCATGTCCAAAATCTCTCTGACCATCTCCTTTTTTAGGTCCACAGTCTCTGACCATCTTTTGTATCATGCCCATAGGCTTTGACTACATGTCTGCATCTGCCATCTCTGATAATCAATAGTCACTGCAATAAAATGCATAAAAGTGCAGCCTTTTAGTGATGTTGGTGATGGTGATGTTGGGGGCCACACTCGAGGCCCCCTCATATCAAGAAAGTTGACTACCAATGCCATACAGACCTAAAGGCCTCCCAAGCATGAAAGCTTGCATATGAAGTTGTCATTTTCTCAGCAATTTTCAATTCTGAATTTGAGTATGAGGAAATTCCTCCAACAATTACAGTGATTACGGATTTAACAGATGTCAAAATCTGGTATGGGTCCCATTGATTTCAATGGGTATCCCACAATGGAGAAGGTAAAAAGTAAAATGTGCAGCAAGGTAAAGAAATTTTTGACGGAACTTTATAATTGTTTATCTTAGTCTATGCACCATAAGATGGTTATTGAGCTGAGTATGTACAAATCAAATGGTGATCATACAGTATGTACATATGTAGTCATTGTAGATGTTTCCATCTGATGCGGCCTGTACAGATATGACATGTCTTACTCACCAGAGGTTGCTTTGGTTGCAGGGAAAGCGATGATGGGACCTTGGGCTGTGACTCCAGTGACTGTATTCTCACAGCTGATGATGTATTAATGTTCAAATACTTTCTAATTCTCTCTGGAACTAAAAAAATAGTAAAAAATGGACAAATATAAATCTCAATGCCGCGACCACAGAATCGTGTGAAATTGCCCTGTAAACCCCAAAACAAAAATGTAATAGATTGCAGTGTTTTAGTCCTTAGATGTGGTAGCTGCATTCGTTTTCTTTTTCAAACTTTTTTCACTTTATTTTAAGTGATCCTGCCAGTAACTCACTTCATATCAATGCTCGCTTGCTCACTGTACTATAGCAGCGCTTCCCTGCTGAATCGGTTGAAATACGAGTTATAGGTGGCCCTGTCTGCAGCAACCAGCTCCACAATAGTTGATTTAATAATTGACTGAAAATTGTTCTCTGAACTGTGACTGAATCCTCTTTGATGCAGTCACTGTTTGGCAGCGTCATTGTATTTAAAGTGCTGTCTGAGTCCAATAGCCAGCAGTGGAGATACTTAAATCCATGTTGTTAGCACAGATTGGGGAAGCGATTGAAGGAAAGGAAATTACTCGATTCTTCTAAAACAGGGGTGTCAACCTGGCGGCCCTCCAGCTGTTGCGAAACTACAAGTCCCATCATGCCTCTGCCTTTGGGAGTCATGCTTTTAACTGTCAATCTTGCAATGCCTCATGGGACTTGTAGTTTGGCAACAGCTGTAGGGCCGCTAGTTTGACACCCATTGTCTATAAACACAGTCAGTGTTGATGGGGGAAAGCCCCCTGCAGAGCAATTGTGTTCTGCTGGCGGGAAGCCTTCCCGGATGGCAGCACACGATTATCACTGCTAGCAGCTATAGCCATCGGCAGTAATTGCACACAAAAAATCTGACAGGCTGGTTGTACTGAAGTCAATCGATGGACTGACTTCAGTACAGCCAGCCCTGCCCATAGATGGATCGAATCTCGGCTGGTCCCTGCTGATATGGCTGAGATTCGATCCTCTATGGCCGTCTTTAAGATGGAGGTGTTTTGCAATCAACAAAGACAACTGTGAACAATGTTAACTTAATATTGTCAGCACATGCAGAGAGAACATGACGTTATCAGCTCACTAGTTTTCTGTCAGGATCAGCAGGTATTGCTGCACTTATTGAACAGATAAAACAAAACACTTAATGGTATATATATAGTAGACCAAAAGGGAGTAAGTAAGAAATGTTTTATTTTTAGGGCTCACATACATTTGGGTGTATTACCATAGATGCCTTGTTTTTACATGCAGTTTGTAATTATATACTGTATGTGGCAGCCTTTTTTATCCTCTTATTTCCTCCAGAGCTCTACTGTATATGAAGGGACTTGGATAATAATAGTTACATAGTTAGTCTGGCTGAAAAAAAGACAAAAGTCCATCCAGTTCAACCATTAAAAAAAAAAAAAGTTATAATCCTATACCCACAGTTGATCCAGAGGAAAGCAAAAAACCCCAACAAAGCACGATCCAATTTGCTCCTGTAGAGAAAAAAATTCCTCCCTGATCCCCCGAGAGGCAATCAGATATTCCCTGGATCAACTTTACCTATAAATGTTAGTATCCAGTTATATTCTGTGTAAAGCAATCCACTGTGCTGGCCAGAACCAACTCTTGAGGGAGTCTATGCCACATTTTCGCAGCTCTTACTGTGAAGAAAGCTTTCCGTGTTTGGAGATTAAATTTCTTTTCCTCCAGATGTAAAGAGTGCCCCCCCTTGTCAAGACTGTGGGAGATTACAGATCATTGAAATGTAAAATATATTATATCTAAGTATATCTGTGGGAAAAAAACTATTAAAAAAGTTACAATAGCATAGTTACATAGTTAGTCTGGCTGAAAAAAGACAAAAGTCCATCCAGTTCAACCATTAAAAAAAAAAAAAAAAAAAAGTTATAATCCTATACCCACAGTTGATCCAGAGGAAGGCAAAAAAACCCAGCAAAGCACGATCCAATTTGTTCCTGTAGAGAAAAAAAATTCCTTCCTGATCCCCCGAGAGGCAATCAGATCTTCCCTGGATCAACTTTACCTATAAATGTTAGTATCCAGTTATATTCTGTGTATCTAGGAAAGAATCCGGGACTTTTTTAAAGCAATCCACTGAGCTGGCCAGAACCAACTCTTGAGGGAGTCTATTCCACATTTTCACAGCTCTCACTGTGAAGAAACCTTTCCGTATTTGGAGATTACATTTCTTTTCCTCCAGACGTAAAGAGTGCCTCCTCCAGACGTAAAGAGTGCCCCCTTGTCCTCTGTGATGACCTCAGGGTGAATAGCTCTACACGGGTAGGCTTCAATATTCTTTAAATGAATGAATACATTTTAGTTGGAATTTTTTGTAATCAGCATTGAACAACAGAAAAAAACTTCAGTAAAACAAGGCAAAGAAATTACAAATAAACTTGAACCCATCAAAGTCTCCCCCCCCCCACTTTGGAATTCCTCTTACATGAGAATTCCCTTCAGACCCCCCTTACATCTAGGTCCCCTCTTACATCAAAGGGCTGCATAAAATCTTGTAGCGGTCTGGGGCTGGCCCACGGGATTGGGGATTGGGGACTCCTTGTCTGGATCATCACCAGAGCCCTCCCTGATACTAGTGGCTATGCTACTGCCAGTTCAGCTCTCAGGATCAATTAATCATACAAGCTCTACCATGTCTTTAAAGTAGGGATCTCTTCAGATGGCCACTAACCTTACTGCACCCTGAAATCTGAAAACTTTGAAAACAACAAACTGCAGTAATAATGGCTAATCAAAATCCTGATCCAAGCTGCATAGGCTAGGAACTGGGGGGCAATAGTGTTTTAGCATGTCAGGAAAGGAGTTCTTATTATTTTTTTTTATTAAAAATAATGTGATTTGGTAATGGGGACCAGTGCTCTATTGATTTAAAAGTAAATTTAAAAAGTTATTTTTAGTAAATGCTTTGTCACTTGACAAAGTATTATATTTCTCTAGGTCTCAAGATACCATGCATTCCTGGGTCTGCACATCTGGTGTGACCATAACAAAGGTGGGCAGGGACACCCAAAGGTAGACAGGATCAGAGTCAGGAATCATGGCTCTCATTATTGGAGTATGTAAGAATATAGGTATCCAGGGCCCATTTCAGCCCACCAGACGTCACCTATAACTATATTGCCACTGTTGGCTTGACCAAGCCTTTAAGGTACCCAGTGTGTCCAGATTATTGTCAAAGGAAAGTCTACTGACAACAAGCCTGAGTAAAGGTCACCTTTGGCTTTCATAGCTAACCAATATCTGCTGGGAGTTTAACTCGCTGAAACAGCTGCTATGAATGACATCAACACATGCATGCAGGACTTCTACAATGGTTTCTATGGTCCCGCTCCGATATGGGCATTTGGCACTCAATGAGTTCAGATTATCTTTAAGGGAAGGTTCCCTCGGCCCTCGTCTGCTGACAACAGGCCTGAGTATAGGTCACCGTTGACTTTCATAGCCAACAGATATCTGCTAGGATTTTGAATAACTAGAACAGGAACCATGATTGGCATCAGCACAGATTGTGGGACTTGTACAGTGGTTTCTATGGTCCCGCTCATGATATGGGCATTTGGCACTCAATGAGTTCAGATTATCTTTAAAGGAAGGTTCCCTCGGCCCTTGTCTGCTGACAACAGGCCTGAGTATAGGTCACCGTTGACTTTCATAGCCAACAGATATCTGCTAGGATTTTGAATAACTAGAACAGGAACCATGATTGGCATCAGCACAGATTGTGGGACTTGTACAGTGGTTTCTATGGTCCCGCTCACGATATGGGCATTTGGCACTCAATGAGTTCAGATTATCTTTAAAGGAAGGTTCCCCCAGCCCTTGTCTGCTGACAACAGGCCTGAGTATAGGTCACCGTTGACTTTCATAGCCAACAGATATCTGCTAGGATTTTGAATAACTAGAACAGGAACCATGATTGGCATCAGCACAGATTGTGGGACTTGTACAGTGGTTTCTATGGTCCCGCTCATGATATGGGCATTTGGCACTCATGAGTTCAGATTATCTTTAAAGGAAGGTTCCCCCAGCCCTTGTCTGCTGACAACAGGCCTGAGTATAGGTCACCGTTGACTTTCATAGCCAACAGATATCTGCTAGGATTTTGAATAACTAGAACAGGAACCATGATGGCATCAGCACAGATTGTGGGACTTGTACAGTGGTTTCTATGGTCCCGCTCATGATATGGGCATTTGGCAAGATCTACTGCAGCCCATGTTAACTACGATGATAGAAGTGTCAAGGGGTCAAATCTGTGAGTATATAACATGTTTTACAGCAAAAAGCTCACTTCAATGAAATTGAAAAAAAAAAATTAAAAAGGTTCACTGACCCACACTTTTGCAGTATGTGTATTTCCGTTTCTGGTATCATATTCGATGACATCTTTGATATCTTCAAATCCATGCCACACAATCTTTACCACGGCCTCCTCAGGCTCAGTGTTCCCCTCTTGTTGCTCTTTGTTTGATTTATTTTGTTTTTTACGCCTCTTTGGTGATGGGATTTCTACCATTCTACCGTATGATACTACCACATCAGCAGTGACACCAGAGGGCTCTGGGTACCATAAGAAGACCTGAACAGTATTATCATTTGAAAGCTGCATGAAAGCCTCGCTGCTTCTTATAATTTGAGGGACATGATGAGAAACCCGGAAAATTCCTTCTAACTGAATCTTTTTCAGCAACGTTTCTCTCAAATAAGTCCTTGTCTGTGCCACCGGAATCTTGCAAGGGGCCCCTTCCCAGAGCACGTGAGAACAGACTTCCCAATGTGTCCCATAAAGCTGAAACGTAAGGCAAACCATCAGGATTCTGAATTGGTACATGTCCTCTCTGGGATGCTGAGGAATTCCTGCTACTCCATGGCTCACAAGGTGCAGATCCCTGAGGTATAATATCAGGTCCTTTAGACAAACCATCAGTTCTTAATTGTGACAAATGTGATGGAAAGTCTTCAGAGTCTCTGGATTTTGGAGACACTATTAACTCTGTCAGAGGTTCCAGTCTGCCGTAGCTTGCAGCTGGTGTCAATGATCCTGAAAATAAAAAAATTTAGTATTTAAAGTAGTAAAATTATATAAACCCTCACGTTATAAAACAACCCATTCAGTTTACAAGAAAAACGGAAGGAAAACATTTGTGTATAGATATAAAAAAAACATTATAAACACTTTTTTCCCTTTTTTTTATAAGTGATCACATTCTGTTTTCAGCTGCATAAAAGCTGGGGGAGGAGAAAAAGAAATACACTGGTCTTCCCAGTGAATGGCTGTGTCGGGGTGGGGGTGTTGGTTGTCAGGACAAGTCTGATCATTGGCTGAGAGCAGATCGAGTTCTCAGCATAGCTAGAGAAGTGATCGCATTGTGCTCTTATGCCTAGTGTGGTCAGTTTTTTGATAGGAAAACAAAGGGACTGGCAGGAACACCAGGGATTTCACACAAAGGAAGCAATATAAAGAGAACAGGATACTTTTTCATACAAGTACATGGTATAGCAGGCACATATCAGGAGTATGAAATGTTCGGTTTACATACTCTTTAAAATGTAATGATATGACATCATTTATTTCTAGGGATGCACTGATACATATCGGCGGACAAAACGTATCAGCCAAAAATAGTGTTATCCGCACAAAAGGTGTCCCAAAATGGCTTCTCTGTTTTTATTATACAAGAAATATGTCAAGGCAACTCACATGGTGAGTCGCATCCCATAGATTTTCATGCAAAGTCACATTCCATAGACTTCCATGCAAAGTCGTGTCCCATAGATTTTTATTCAGAGTCACATCCCATTGACTTTCATGCCAAGTCACGGCCCATAGACTTTTATGCAAAGTCGCATCCCATAGACTTTTATGCAAAGTCGCATCCCATAGACTTTCATGAGAAAATGCCCCCTAGTGATTTCAATACAAAGTCGCATCACATAGACTTTCATGCAAAATCACATCACCCTAGACTTTCATGCAAAAATGCCCCCTAGTGACTTCGAAGCAAAGTTGCTTCTCATAGTCTTTAATACAAGTTGCGTCCCCATAGAGTTAAGTGCAAAAATGCCCCCTAGTGACTTCAATGCAAAATCACGTCCCATAGACTTTAATGCAAAATCACGTCCCCCTAGACTTTCATGCGAAAACGCCCCCCAGTGACTTCAATGCAAAGTTGCGCCTCATAACCTTTAATGCAAAGTTGCGTCCCCAGAGAGTTAAATGCAAAAACGTCCCCCTAGTGACTTCAATGCAAAATCATGTCCCATAGACTTTCATGCGAAAATGCCCCTAGTGATTTAAATACAAAGTCGCCTCTCATAGACTTTCATGCAAAGTCGTGTCCCATAGATTTTCATTCAGAGTCACGTCCCATTGACTTTCATGCAAAGTCACGCCCCATAGACTTATATGCAAAGTCGCATCCCATAGACTTTTATGCAAAGTCGCATCCCATAGACTTTCATGAGAAAATGCCCCCTAGTGATTTCAATACAAAGTCGCATCACATAGACTTTCATGCAAAATCACATCACCCTAGACTTTCATGCAAAAATGCCCAATAGTGACTTCAATGCAAAGTTGCTTCTCATAGCCTTTAATGCAAAGTTGCGTCCCCATAGAGTTAAGTGCAAAAACGCCCCCTAGTGACTTCAATGCAAAATCACGTCCCATAGACTTTAATGCAAAATCACGTCCCCCTAGACTTTCATGCAAAAACGCCCCCCTAGTGACTTCAATGCAAAGTTGCGCCTCATAACCTTTAATGTAAAGTTGCGTCCCCAGAGAGTTAAATGCAAAAACATCCCCTAGTGACTTCAATGCAAAATCATGTCCCATAGACTTTAATGCAAAATCACGTCCCCCTAGACTTTCATGCAAAAGCGCCCCCTAGTGACTTCAATGCAAAGTTGCGTCTCATAACCTTTTAATGTACAGTTGCGTCCCCAGAGAGTTAAATGCAAAAACGTCCCCCTAGTGACTTCAATGCAAAATCATGTCCCATAGACTTTAATGCAAAATCATGTCCAGTAGTCTTTAATGCACAATTGCGTCCCCATAGACCTCAATGCAAAAATGCCCCCTAGTGACTTCAATGCAAAATCATGTCCCATAGACTTCAATGCAAAAATCCCCCCCCAGTGACTTCAATGCAAAAATGTCAGCCACATTAATTAAGTTCCGTACCGGAATTTTTATTTCGTTGCACCACGATTTACTTCATGTATAGGAAACATATTCCACATTGTCAAAAGGGAACATGGAAGCGCACACTGCGAGACCACTTGGTGTATTGTGTACCTTCGTCTTCAGCTTGGCTCCTCCCAAGTCACACCCTCTAATGTGTTTCACCCACCCACGGGTTAATCATAGCGGTTCATGATCTATGAATAAACCCGTGAGTGGGTGGAGCACGTTGGGGGGCGTGGCTTTAGAGGAGACAAGCTGAAGCCGATCTGTTGCACAATGAACTGAAGGGTTTCCAGGTGTGAGCTTCTGTGTTCCCCTTTGACAGATTGCTGTACTGGGCAGGACGGGCCCTTCAGAAGCTAGCAGCCGGTAGTGATTGGAGTCATCGGACTTCCACATTGGGGCTTGGAACGGCGCTTTCTGTTTGTATTGGTCACATATATTCCACACTGCATTATAGAGATCACCAAGGCCTGAAGAAGCTTACATCCTCATGTCCCGCCTGAACAAACACTTTCTAGGGTCAATTAGGCAAAAGTGAAATTTAGCTTTAACAGTCGATTGACCTGACATTTTTTTTGGTGATGTTGGGGGGGGGGGGCTGCATACAATTTTATTATAGGTACTTATATAGCGCTGTCAATTTACGCAGCGCTTTGCATATATATTGTACATTCACATCAGTCCCTAACACTCAAGGGGTGTACAATCTAAGGTCCCTAACTCACATTCATACATACACATACTAGGGCCAATTTAGACAGGAGACAATTAACCTACCAGCATGTCTTTGGAGCGTGGGAGGAAACCGGAGTACCCGGAGAAAACCCACGCAGGCACAGGGAGAACATGCAAACTCCAGGCAGGTGGTGCCGTGGTTGGGATTCAAACCAACGACCCTAGTACTGCCAGGCGGAAGTGCTAACCATTTAGCCACTGTGCTGCACTTATATATATATATATAGTGTACATTCACATCAGTCCCTAACCCTCAAGGGGTGTACAATCTAAGTTCCCTAACTCACATTCATACATACACATACTAGGGCCAATTTAGACAGGATCCAATTAACCTACCAGCATGTCTTTGGAGCGTGGGAGGAAACCGGAGCACCCAGAGAAAACCCATGCAGGCACAGGGAGAACAAACTCCAAACAGCAAACTCCAGGCAGGTGGTGCCGTGGTTGGGATTTGAACCAACAACCCTAGTACTGCCAGATGGAAGTGCTAACCATTTAGCCACTGTGCTGCCAAATTTTCATGCAATAACATGGCAGGTACTAAACCTTAGTGCTGCAAGGAGAGCGAAACTGTTTAAATTCAATATGCTTTCAGGTCCATACAGCTACCTCCAGTTTCTTGGCTTGCTTTTGACTTGCTTCAAGCTAATTTTGGGTTACTTTGAATTGCATTTGCGTTCACACCGTATGAGGAAGCAATGCATCCTAGATGCAAACCAATGACTGTGTCCTATAAACACCAGGTTCAAATGTAAATTCCAAGCAAAGTTTTCTAAATGCGTCCAAAGGGATCAACTTACCTATTTGGATGTAAACACATGTGTACACATCGACCCACACTGGGAATATAGCATTGGGATAAACTATACGGATTTGATCGAGAAGGCTTGTTTCCAGGGCAGATGCATGCAGTTCCTAGTAAAAACATAAAATAATATTACAAGTGAACATGATATTCAAATAAATGGCAACTACCCTAAATGTATAACTAGCTTTTACAGTAAGGTGCACATGAAAGGGGCTTTGCACGTTACAAACAATCGAACATTTCCCAGCATACCAGCTTGCCTGCAACAAAACCAAATTAGTTGGACCGGCTAAGATTTGAACCATCTATGGGCAGACTGATTGTACCCAATTCGATTGTTTGTACAACCAGCCTGTTGTATTTTGCATGCGATTATTTCCATCGGCTATAACCACTAGCAATAAACACTGTGCTCTCCTGGCAGGAATGGCTTCCCCCTGCACCTCCCCTCCGGGAGAACATAGCAACTCAGAGAGAGGGATTCCCCAAACAACACTCACTGTGTTGATGGGGGATTTGAACAAATTCTCTTTCCTGCAACTACAGGAAATAAAATTGCATCATCTATGGCCAGCTAAGGAGGAGTGGGATCCCTCCAGGCAAACCTGCCCTTAATTTGCGTGGGTTTCCTCCGAGTACTCTCCGGTTTCCTCCCACACTCCAAAGACATGCTGGTAGGTTAATTGGCTCCTGTCTAAATTGGCCCTAGTATGTGTACATTTCCCAGCATACCAGCTTGCCTGCAACAAAACCAAATTAGTTGAGCAGGGACCGGCTAAGATTTGAACCATCTATGGGCAGACTGATTGTACCCAATTCGATTGTTGTACAACTTGGGTACAACCAGCCTGTTGTATTTTGCATGCGATTATTTCCACTAGCCACTAGCAATAAACACTGTGCTCTACTGGCAGGAATGGCTTCCCCCTGCGCCTCCCCTCCGGGAGAACATAACAACTCAGAGAGAGGGATTCCCCAAACAACAAACACTCACTGTGTTGATGGAGGAATTGAACAAATTTTTTGCAACTGCAACTACAGGAAATATAATCACATCATCTATGGCCAGCTAAGGAGGAGTGGGATCCCTCCAGGAAAACCTGCCCTTAATTTGCGTGGGTTTCCTCCAGGTACTCCGGTTTCCTTCCACACTCCAAAGACATGCTGGTAGGTTAATTGGCTCCTGTCTAAATTGGCCCTAATATGTGTATGTATGACTGTGAGTTAGGGACTTTAGATTGTACGCCCCTTGAGGGTTAGGGACTGATGTGAATGTACAATATATATGTAAAGTGCTGTGTAAATTGACAGCACTATATAAGTATCTGAAATAAATAAATTAAATGTATCCACGCTATGTGCTTCAAATTGGAGACTCAAAATTGTAGAGTTGGGACCACCGTATACAGAAGCGCCTTGGCGTGGCACTGCGGCTTTCACATATATTTGCAAATCTGTGCAACTAAAACCTCTGTTTTAATGCAAACTGTTAGACAGAGCTAACTTGGTTTTGAAATAGATGATCCAATTTTCTTTTGGTTGCAGGAAAGAAAATTGCTTTAATCCCCCATCAACACTGACTGGAATTGTCCCCAGCCGGGAGAACACAATGATTGTTAGCGGCTATAGCCGCTGGCAATAGTTGCATGTTAGAAGTTCGACATGCTGGTTCTACCCAAGTCGATCGATAGATTGACCTGGCTACAATCAGCCTGCTCATGCATGTATCGAATCTATGTTGGTCCTTGGCTGAGACTCTAACCATCTATAGCGGCTTAAGTCTTCACTCCCCTGCCACTGTGTTCACTGACAGGAGCAGAAGTCCTGTGCAAGGTTGTGATCTGGGGCTTACCCAGGGCTGAGGAATCTTTCCTTGCCCTATGTAATGGTGCTGATGCTTGGCAATGGCCAGTTTACGCACCCAGTGCTGTCACCTTGGCCCTGAGTATTCCTACCCTCCAGCATGGGGCAAAAGGAGTTAATCCCATTATTTCCCATACCCAGGGGTACCATGTATTTCTTTTCCCTTCCAATGGCCAAATGCAGCAGCGAGAGTTGAGTATAAGCTGCCACAGGGCCAACATATACAGATTTACAAAATACTTAGACCTATCATGTCAGTCTCTGACCTAAATACAGAAAAGTCTAAAGGCCCCACCAAAATCACAGACCAACATAAGTAATGTTAATTTCAGCAGCAGCTAATCACCTAAGCTGTATACTTTTGGATGGTGGAAAAAAAAACTGGAGAACCATTACAAATCCATGCAAATAATGTGGGAACACATGAGCTCCATGAAGAAGAAACTGGTGATCTGCTTCTGAAAACTTCTCAGTGAGTTTCTAGATCAGGGGTCTCCAAACTTTCTAAGCAAAGGGCCAGTTTACTGTCCTTCTGACTTTAGCAAGGCCAGATCATGGCCATCGGGAGTAGAAAAGGTCCGGCATCAGTGGGAGTAAACATCTCCTACCTTTGGTGTCAGTGAGAGGAACTGTGCCCCAATCTTGGTGTCACTGGGATGAACTGTGCTCCATCCGTTGTGTCATTGGAGGGAATTATGCCCCATCGCTGGTGTCATTGGTGGGAATTGTGCCCCTTCTTTGGTGTCAGTGGATTAAATGGTGCCCCAAGGGCCAGATAAAAGCAAACAAAGGGCCACATCCAGCCCTCAGGCCACAGTTTGGAGACCCCTGGTCTAGAGCAGTGGTCTCCAAACTGCGGCCTGAGGGCTGGATGCGGCCCTTTGTTTGAGGAATAAGGGCCAATTAAGTGATTTAGTAAGCAGCTTTGGGCCACAACGAAATGAAATAGTTCATAATGTCGAATTGCATAATGAACATTTTCCTCCTACAGCTGCTGAATTATGGCGGAAGGGAGAGGAGGAGAAGCCAGATTTCAGTGGTTGCAGGAGGAAAATGGAGAGGATTGGTTCCTGTATATGCTGCTCTGGTTTGAGGTCAAAGGCCACATCAGAGGGCTCTGAGGGCTACAGATTGAGGGCCACTCCTCTTCTAAGCAAAGAGCCAGTTTACTGTCCTTTAGGCTTCAGACTGGCTTTTGCCAGAGGGAGTAGAAAATGCCCCATCATTGGTTTTAATGGGAGGAATAGTGCCCCATTGTTGGTATGGATGGGAAGAATAGTGCCCCCATTGTATGGTGTCAGTAGGGGGAATGGTGTCTCATCATTTGCATCAGTTGGTGAAATAGAGTCCCAAGGACCAGATAAAGGCAGGCAAAGGGCCACATCTGGCCGCAGTTTGGAGACCACTGTTCTAGATAGTACCACCTGTCTCTGCCCTGTCTCTGCCAAATATCAGCCAATACTGATCTATAGCAAGGCTATTAATACCATATGTCTTGGGATGGAGAAGTAAATGAAGGTATTGGCAGGAGATGAGTGGTTTTTACTTGCCAGCTATAAAGTGAGATAGCTGCTTCTCTTTATAGAAATCTATGACTACTTTTCCGGCAAAACTTTATTTATAAAAGCGGTCAGCTATGTTTAGCAGAGGCTAAAGAAACAAGAGAGACGCATCACGCCAAGGTCTACTAGGTCACAAAGGCATAAAGAGTCAGACCCGACCAATGCAAGCCTTTAAAATGAACAATAACATTTAAAGGGTTAGTCCACCTTTCCAATAAATGTTTCCATGCATTTCCACCTCCACAGTGGATTAAAAAGCACTCTTCGGCATTGAAAAAGGAGCTACTTTTAGGCTCCATGCACACTTGCCTTTTTAAAAAAAATTAAATTACTGGAAAAAACTCTGGATAAAAAAACTGGTAATTTAGCATTTTTAGTAGTGTTTTAGTAGCATTCAGACGTGTTTAGAAGCGTTAGCATTTCATTAGTGTTTTTTATAGTACATGTAGAGGAAAAGATAAGCTAGAAAAACGCTGTTAGGAGCGTTTAGGAAAGCTTAGGAGTGTTTAGCATTTTTTTTCTGTTGGAAAAATGCTCCACAAAACTCTACAGAAACAATTTTTTTTCTGCTCCTAGACGCTGAAGCTCAAAAATTGCTAATAGCCTAAAGTAGTGTGCATGGACACATAGGATAACACGATTTAGCTTCTAGGAGCAGAAAAAAAATGCTAATAACAGCTTCTAGGAGCTTAAAAAAACACTAGTGTGCATGGTGCCCGAAATGTCATAAATGTAGGCCATGCTTTGCCTTTCCCGAACCTCCCAGAAACATTCCTAGTGTAAGTGACCCCCCCCCCCCCATCCTGCCTAGAAGGCAAGGAGTGCTGCTTGTTGGGCACTCATGCACTGCAGGAACAAGCACTCCGCCTCGCTTAAAACCCATGCATGCTCAGTGTGCTCTCTCTGTTGCACATTGTCAATTTCTTTTGCTGCACAGCAGCAGCTTTCTTTCTTGAGGCTTGCTTTGCCTGACTGAAAACTTGGACAGAGTCATCCGAGATGGTAGGAGCCACTCCTAAGCCTCATTCATTTGTGTAGCTAAATTTCAGCTTGAGCTATTGGATTTTGTAAACAAGTCCTTTAAGAACTAAGGCTCAAACGAGACAAAGGAAAGAACCAAGGTCTCCTCCTGCTGGTCAGACAGAAGACTGCATGATATTCATACACAACATGCACTGTAAAATACATTTCTAACTCCTATTGCTATGCAGAAAAATATTAAATAAAAAAAGGAAATATTTATACAGCCCCTTTTCTTTATAATAGCTAAATGGGAAGCCAATGGGCAAAATTTAACATGGATTACCAGTATTTCCCAGTCATCTGCAGTCATGGGTTCAACTGTGACTTCTTTACACGATGTGACATTACAACACTGCTTAAGGAACACCTGTAGATAAAACCAACATAACTTATATTACTTGGAACCTATGATTAATGTACATATGACAACAGTTTTATATGCTTGAAATCAAAATCTATTCAACATGCAGGAAATGGTATTATTAAAATGTATCTTCAGTTAAACGTTTTTTTTTTTAGCATTGGGTGGAGCAGCCTTTCTCAATCAAGGTGCCCAGGCACCCTGGGGTGCCTTGAGGTTTCTTCAGGGGTGCCTTGGCAAAATGTTGAAAAATTGCCCAAAACTTGTATACAAGCCAGCAGGTGAAACAAGCCTGCCTTTTAGTTACACAAAGCCAAAGGATTTAATTGTGCACCATTACGACCTTCTAACCACTGGCGTCCTAACAACCAATGGCATCATCAGTTGATAAGGAGGATGTCAACTGCCTGCACAGCATCCTTGTTTGACCCTCCCCCGCCCCTCTCCATCAGCGCTGGGGTCACATTAGCTCAGTGATGGAGAAAAACTGAGGGGGAAGAGAAACACTGGAATACTAGTCAGTACCAGTGTGCAAAAGTGTGTTTGCTGTGGAAGAATAAATCACCTCTAATGTTGGGTGTCCTACATGTGTGGATGTTGCTGCATTATACAAAACTTTTAGAATAGTTTTTCACATTTTAGAATAGGGTGCATCAAGACTGTCCAAAATTTTAAAGGGTGCCTTGACTGAAAAACGTTTTAGAAACACTGGGGTGGAGCAAAAGATTAAATCCCCTGCCAGGTTTTTACGGCTGTCCAGGGTTCTTTTGAGGGATATGCCCTCATTTACTGTGCTGGTGACCGCATTCATAACATACTGTATCCATATATGAGATTAAAGTGGTTGTAAAGGCTGAAGGATTTTTCAGCCATTCTATGCATGAAGGTGAAAAAAACCTTTTGTGTATTGCTCCCCCACACAGCCCCCTCAATGCTCACCTGAGCCCCCTCTCAATTCAGCGATGTGCACAGGAGCCTCCGCTGTCCTAGGTTTCTCTCTCCTCATTGGCTGAGACACAGCAGCAGGAGTCATTGGCTTCCATTGCAATGAGGAGAGAACAGGGGGTGGGGTCAAGCTCTTGCTCTTTGTGTCCTATGGACGCATAGACCGGGGCTCAGGAGCGAGCACACACTAGTGCTCCCATAGCGGCTTTCTATTGGGGGCACTGGTCAAGGGGGTGGAGCCAGAAGCACCAACAGGGCACCCGAGAAGAAGAGAATTGGGGCTGCTCTGTGCAAAAGCATTACACAGAGCAGGTAAGTATGACACATTTGTTATAAAAAAACTCTTTAATAATACTTTAAAGAAGCGCCACACTCCCATCCATCCAGCCTAGCGTAGACTTGATAATGGCCTCAGACAAAGCCATTGTCAAGTCTACACTAGGCTGGCTGGATGGGAGTATGGTGCTCTGTGCAAAAGCATTACACAGAGCAGGTAAGTATGACACATTTGTTATAAAAAAAACCTTTAATAATACTTTAAAGAAGCGCCACACTCCCATCCAGCCAGCCTAGCGTAGACTTGATAATGACCTCAGACAAGGCCATTGTCAAGTCTACACTAGGCTGGCTGGATGGGAGTATGGTGCTTCTTAAACTGAAATTCCACCCAAATCCTAGCAAACTCTAAACCTACTCCAAGCCCCATTCTAAGCACCCATAGTAAGTCTATGGGTGGCGCCATCTCCTGTTCTGTTCCCAGCCGTTGTCAGCTCTCTCTCTACACAAAATGGCCTCAGACGAGGCCATTGTCAAGTCTACACTAGGCTGCCTAAATAGGAGTGTGGTGCTTCTTTAAAGTGAAATTCCACCCAAATCCTAGCAAATGCTAAACCTAATCCAAGCCCCATTTCTAAGCCTAATTTATCTAACTCTGTGAGGAAAAGACCCCTACAATTACCTATTCTGAAGCCGCTTAGGTCTCCTGCGGCGGTTCCTGTGTAGCGAGAGAGAGCTGACAACAGCTGGGAAATGAACAGGAGATGATGTCACCCATAGACTTGCTATGGGGCATCCCTTGTCGGCTGCCTCTGCTCTACACAGAAGCCACCGCTGACAACAACAGTGTGAAATGGGACTGCAGCAGCTTCAGAATAGGTAAGGATAGCGATATTTCCTTTACAGGGTTAGATAGGTTAGGATTAAAGTGGGGGGGCTGGTAGTAGATTTAGGGTTAGTTAGGATTTGGGTGGATTCCACATTAATTTCATAGATGCATTGCTTTGGATGAGCACCTTAGCAGCCTGCACCTTTCTCCTTGGTGACTGCAAGAGTTTGTCTTCTCCAGCCTGACTCATGTTCATAATCTAATACTGTATCCATAGTATGGTGTGTTATGTAGAACACCTGGTTAGCAGATTGATCCACCATATGGAAAGCAGCCCCTGAGGTTCCCCCTGACCTATGTCAAGAGACCACAAGTGATATGTGTATCCTAGGTTGCAAGCCACTAAAATCGCCTTTCTCAATCAGAGTTCCAAGGAACCCTAGGGTTTCTCCAGAGGTTGCTAGGGTTTCTTGAGCAATGAGCAGTTTCTGCCTCTCCATTTAGCAACCACTGACACCAAGGCTCTTTTTAGCTATCGGCAAGGGGGATATGCTTCACAATGAACATCAATATAAATGACACCTTCTCCACTGACCACCTATACACCAATATAAGAAGGACCTTCCCCATTGACCACCTACATAAGATGTAATTTCTCCACACTGATCATTTATACACCTATTTATTTATTACAGGTTCTTATATAGCGCCGTCAATTTACGCAGCACTTTACATAACTATTGTACATTCACATAAGTCCCTAACCCTCAAGGGGTGTACAATCTAAGGTCCCTAACTCACATTCATACATACACATATTAGGGCCAATTTAGACACGAGCCAATTAACCTACCAGCATATCTTTGGAGTGTGGGAGAAAACCGGAGTACCCAGAAGCAACAAATGCAGGCACAGGGAAAACATGCAAACTCCAGGCAGGTAGTACCATGTTTGGGATTTGAACCAACGACCACTGCCAGGGGGAAGTGCTAACCATTTAGCCACTGTGCTATATAGGAAGGCTCTTGTACACTGACCACCTTTACACTTATATTAGAAGGACCTTCTCCACTGATCACCTATACAAGTAGGTCCTTCTTTATGGGCCACTTATACACCCATACATGAAGGTCCTCCTGCACTGACCACCTATACATGTGTTTAATAAGGATCTTCTCTGCTGACCACCTATACACTTATACAGGAAGGCCTTTCTCCACTGACAACCTATTAATCTAAATAAGAATGACCTTCTTCAGTCACCACCTATATACATATAAATGAATCTCAATCAGAGTTCCATGGAACCCTAGGGTGTCCCGAGAGGTTGCTAAGGTTTCTTGAGCAATGAGCAGTTTTTGCCTCTTCAATTAGCAACCACTGACACCAAGGCTATTTTTAGCTATCGGCAATGGCAGATACCACTTCACAATGAAGGACATCAATATAAAAAGGACCTTCTTCGTTCTCCTTCTCACCACCTACACACCTATATAAGAATGACAGTCACTACCTATATATAAGAAGGACCTTCTTCAGTCACCACACTTATATAAGGACTCATACACCTGTATAAGAAGGACTTCTGTCACCACCTCAGTCACCACACAAGAAGGACCTGCACACCTATATAAGAAGGACCTTCTTCAGTCACCACCTACACACCTATATAAGAAGGACCTTATTCAGTCACCACCTACACACTTATATAAGAAGACTTTCTTCACACCACCTACACACTTATATAAGGACTTTCTTCAGGACTTTCTTCAGTCACCACCTGCACATTTATATAAGAAGGACCTTCTTCAGTCACCACCTGCACATTTATATAAGAAGGACCTTCTTCAGTCACCACCTGCACACCTTCTTTCACCACCACACATATAAGGACCTTCTGCAGTACACCTTCTGCAGTCACCACCTACACACCTATATAAGAAGGACCTTATTCAGTCACCACCTACACACTTATATAAGGACTTTCTTCAGTCACCACCTGCACATTTATATAAGACATTTATATAAGAAAGACCTTCTGCAGTCACCACCTTCAGTCACACTACACAATATAAGAAGGACCTTCTTCAGTCACCATCTTACACACTTATATACAGTCAGGACCCATAAATATTGGGACATTGACACAATTCTAACATTTTTGGCTCTATAACACCACCACAATGGATTTGAAATGAAACAAACAAGATGTGCTTTAACTGCAGACTGTCAGCTCTAATTTGAGGGTATTTACATCCAAATCAGGTGAACGGTGTAGGAATTACAACAGTTTGCATATGTGCCTCCCACTTGTTAAGGACCAAAAGTAATGGGACAATTGCCTTCTCAGCTGTTCCATGGCCAGGTGTGTGTTATTCACTCATTATCTCAATTACAATGAGCAGATAAAAGGTCCAGAGTTCATTTCAAGTGTGCCATTTGCATTTGGAATCTAATCTAGCAGCGTCCAATTTCTTCAGAATTCTCCATAGGTGTTTGATTGGGTTCAGATTAGGAGACATACTTGGCCACTGAATCACTTTCACCCGGTTCTTCTTCAGAAATGCAACAGTGGCCTTAGATGTGTGTTTTGGATAATTGTCATGATGGAAAAGTGCACGAAGACCAAGGGCACGGAGTGATGGTAGCATCTTCTCTTTCAATATAGAGCAGTATATCTGTGAATTCATTAACAAATCTTGGTTGCCGTCAATGGCCCGCATTCGTGGGAGTATTTTGTAGTAAAGTGTCCCATAGAAAATGTTGATTCTGAAAGGAAAGTAAAGGTTTTCTGACAAACCTGTTGGGGTGTACTCCTTTATGCTGAGCATTGTATGTGAGAAGGGGCTTCTTCACTGATCTTTACTGTAGTAAAAAGCTGGGTGTCAAATATGCAACGTACAACATTCCTTATTCACAACCCACTGTTTACACTAATGTACTGTGAGCTATAGAA